AGATCCTCCCAATTCAGTTAGCTGCCAAGCCAGGTTAGTGTTACTGATTCTCCTTGTGAACTAGATTTATGCACACCCAACTCGATCTGCATCTTTCATTGATAGTTTCTTTTCTGGATCAAGTGTTAGCTGGTGTGACCGTTGAAAGCCATACTACTTCACTAACTTGGGATTTCTACCATGCAGGTCCACTGCCCATAGATCCTATTAAGATTTATTCGTATAATATTACATCTCGCCAAACACCTCATCACACTTCTAATATCTGGATGATATTGGTGTAATGTGATTTACAAGGTTACAACCCCAGAAATGAACAGGGTTTACCGTAAGTTGGGTACAAAGGTCCAGGTAATTATTCAAATTCGTCGATAGTAGGATTTGAACCTAAGACCTCTTGCATGGCGGTCTGGCAACCTAACCACTACACTAAGATCGTCAGACCTGTTTATGATGCTTTTTTTACACTTTAGGTTTCTAATCTTAGATAGGTTTTTGAATCTTTCTTTATTATATAGATTTCGTATATATTATTCTATCTTTGGTAATTTTGTTAATTTTGAATTCCTTGCTTCAAGGTTTTTAGATTCTTTTGCTATGAATTTTCAGTCTGCATTTTCTTTGTTCATTGTTTTCTTGTAAGTATGATTGTTCTTGCTTTTCTTGTAACTAACTAACTCTTATGAACATTTTCTTAGATTTTTTGAGATGTTTAGTTTTTTTTCATCTTCTGTTATTTTGTTGTTAGTAGATTCAGGTTTTTTATTATTTTCTTGTTTTCTTTTTAAAATTTTAATTTTTTTATTCTAACTTTTTTTTTATTTCTAGAGTGTATACAAATTTGATATATCATTATTATATCATTGTTATTATTACTATAATGCTATGATATTGTAATCGATTTCTGAATTTTGATCTAGAATTGATGTGATCATAATTACCTTAACTAAGGAATATACCTCTTTGTGGTAGTTGGAACAAGTAGAGGATTTATTTTCAAAACTAAGTATTTCAGAACATATTGTTATGAGATAATTCTAAATCTCATATAATATTAATTATATATAGCTGTAAACAGTCTGGTCATTCTGATTTGATTGTAAGTGATCTTTGTAAAAGGTAATAGGAAGAGCACTACTCTGAGCCTGATATTGGATATAACCTACACTTTACCCTGTTGAAACTATTGTTCAATTCATATGAGTAAGGATCTCTTAGTACAGGTTGGTGCTTACGAATATGTTTTTCATCTTTAAAGTCTTATAATATGTTAGCTTCTATGTAGCGAGACTTGGTAACTTTGTAACTTAAAATTACAAAAGCTAATAATATATTAATAAATACTTTTTTAAAAAAATTATTATAAAAAAAAATTATTAGTGAATGCAAAATTATAAATATTTATTTATTTATTAATGTTAAATAAAAATAATATAAGATTGAAAAAAAATAACAATAAATATAAAAGTAATTATAATAGTTTTGAAGATATTCGATTAATTTAATTTTTATAATGTTTTTTTACTAATTATAGTTAGGAGTTTCAGATTTGGATTTAATCCTTTATAAAAAATTAAATAATATAGATGTATAATATTATGATTTGTTTGAAAATAAAAAAATATTTAAAGATTAAAAGAATATTCTGAGTAATAAATTTGTATATTATTTTAATTTAATATTCTTAATTAATTTATAGTTTGAATTATTTTTATTTCATTTGTTTATATACATGATAAATTATAATTAATTTATAAAAATATATCATTATAAATTTCAATAATAATTTACTTTTACTAGAAAAAAAAGAAAAATTGTTATAATATTGTAATTTATTACCATTATATATAATATTCTTATTCTAATCTTATTCAATTTTTTAATATAAGCAGATGATATTATACTATTTTATCAGGCAATAGATCTTCTGCTTTAAATCCTTGACAAACACGTGCTAAACTAATATATCCTCATCTACAATCTGAAGATATAGATAGAATTTTTATTTGGTTTTCTTTTGGGATTGAGAGTCTAGTTTGCTTATTCATTTTTTGAGTATTATTAAGATCTTGATAAGGAATAATTGAAATAATTGATCCATTAGCATTTCTCTCAATCCTTGCCTCAAGATCATTATAAACTGATATGAAATTATGTAAATAGTAAAAAAACATACTATGTATAAAATATACCTAATTCCTTTTGTAACTAGAAAATTACTATGAAGCAAAAGATAAGAAGAAAATACTACAACTTAATCTAGTTTAAGTTTTACTATAATTTGTAATTGTGGAAAACACAACTCACTACCTTCAAAATTACTCATAGTTATAAGACAACAAAGACTATTAGACTCATCATATTTATCCCAGTAAAAATCATTTATACTATTATAGTTAATTGCAATCATAGGAAAAACTCCAAATAGGCGAAGTATGAAAGGTCCTCAAAATAAATTATTTAACTTATTATAAAGATTTTTATAATAATCTTAGAGAAATTAGTTAATACTATCTAATAATAGTTTAAGGTTTTAAAGTAAATTATCTACATATATTTGGTGATCAGAGTTATGGAAACTAGCCATATTAGAACTAGTTTATGGAAGAATATTATATAATATATAAGCTCCAAAATACTCAATTAAATTTGTTCAAAATTCATAGCTCCGATATGATGGATTGTTTATAGTATAGAAGTAGTAATAATTTATAGTATTAGTTGTTTGAATAACAGTATCATAATTATTTAGCTGTTCTAAGTGTATTAAGGTTTAGCTATTTAAATCAGTAATATACTCTGAGCTAACTACATAACAAAATTGAATTAAATCCTTTAGAGATTGATAATTTTTACATGCTAATATAATTAATCTGTTTTTTTCTAGCCTAGTAATACTCTCAATAATCGTGTTAGTAAAATTTTTATTTTGCATATTCAAGACATGTTATAGCTTTCTCAACTTATGTTTAAGATAGCATCATATATGCCTTTATTTTATAGGTTCCTTAAAACCTAGCTATCATCTAAAATCAATCTACAACAAATTATTAGTACTAACAGTAGATGATTTAGCTTTAAATTCCTTACTGATAATATATGTTTTGATTAATATAAGAAATTTTAAAGGAATCTCATTTAGTTCAAAAAGGTTGTCTAATTTAGTCTCTCTAATTAAAGCTTTAACTAACAAATCATTAGCAGATAAATTTTCTTGAGTCTTTATTTTTTTAGATGATATGTGATCAGAGGGGCTAAGAGAGATGCTTTTCTATATATTTTCTAAATAATAAATCTTGTTATAGGTATACAAACCCTGAGTAGCACATTGTGTCTGATGCTTTAATAAATAAAACCAAATTATATCAGTTTATTTGAAATAATAGATTAATTAATATATTTTAAAGAATAATAGTCTAAATATACTAGATTATATATTTTGTAGACTGAACTTATTGCTTTAATCAAAACCTTGAGTCATCATCTTCAATGGAGAATAGTAATTATGGCTCTGTTAAATTCTACAACATTCTCATAGCTACTAGCTTAAACAATAGTTCTATCAATACAAAACTAATCAAGTATAATAAAATCAAAAATATATACTCAAGATAGAAATAATAGTCTAAAGGTCTAAATTATATATTTTGTGGACTGAACTTATTGCTTTAACCAAAACCTTGAGCCACTATCTCTAATAGAGAATAGTGATTATGGCCTTATTGAATTCTACAATATTCTCATGGCTACTAGCTTAAACAATAGTTCTATCAATACAAAATTAATCTAAGTATAATAAATTCAAAAATATATACTTGGGATAGATTAAAGATAATATCATCTTTAATTATAGAGTTAAAAAGTTCTAGTTCACAAAAAATCTTATTTTGCTTATGATCATATTTTAGTTTTTTATTTCTATTCGCATGAGCATGGTAAGATAATTTCTTCTTGATATCTTGTGATATGATATTATTTTCTTTTCTTTATTATTTGATGCATATATTACATTTATTTTTAAATAAAAGAAAATCTTATAATATTAGATCTAAGAGGAATATCAGTTAAGGGTAGAGTAGAAGCTCATTGTTAATCTTGTAGAGGAAATTAGATTTGAGTAGTATCTTTGTTATAAGAGGTTAAAGAAAATGAGAATCAATTTTCAGAAATAGTAGCTTGGTTTGGGTCTATTAAATATTGACTAACTATAGGACTATATTCGAAGTAGTCAAGACTACTAGTGTATTCATTAGGAATAGATAAACTAAGATCTCCTAAAACTTCTGTTGGAGTTCTATTTAAATAAAGATTAAAGTAGTAGAACTAGCTTGAAATTTAATATAGGAGTTAAAGACTGTAGATTCAAAACCAAGAAGAAAATAGGATTGTAGAGTATAGTATATTTAATTAGAAGGGTTTCAATAATGTTTTTAGAGTTTTCTATAGAGGTATTATATTAGCAACTAAATATTATATCATGTGCTGCTACTCTAGCTTTAGAATAGGTAGAGCTACTAATTAATTCTATATATACAGTTATTGTTTATTAAGAATAGGATCAGGTGTAGTATTCTCATTTACACTAATTTCAAAAATTACAATATGATCAGTAATAGTTTGTTTCTGAATAGTATAGCTAACAGGATAAATCTAGGTCTAAAGTTTGAAATACTGTATATACTTAATTTTTATTTTAATATCATAAATTATATACTTGTATTCTTTTAATATATATTTAATATGCTCTGTTCATATATGTTAGATGATAAGATACTTTACTTCTACACTTTGGGTTATAGAGTATTTGAGACTATGAATTAGAGTTTGGAATTACTTATATCTACTCATTTAGTTCATGAGTAATCTGTACTTAACTTTTCTATATTAAAGATTACAGTAAGCTGCTAGCTATTAGAGTTCTTATGCCTATACTTTGGCTTATAAGGTATTCATTCTTTAAGAGTTTCTATTCCTAGAGGTTGTAATAAGTTGCTAGCTTTAATTAAAGTCCTTATGCTTACAAGTTTGGCTTATAGGGTACTCATCTTTTAGATATTCCTAATCTGGAAATTACAATAAGCTGCTAGCTAATTAGAGTACTTATACCTACAAATTTGGCTTATAAAATACTCATCCTTCAGAGGTTTCTATTCCTGAGATCACAATAAGCTGCTAGCTTTAAGTTATAATCAAATAGATATAGTCTGGGTCTAGATTCAATTTTGAAAAGTCTGTGTAATGTGAAATAAATCTTCCTTAGTCTGAGGTAGTATAGGGTAATTTTTTTCTTTTTATATTACAGTATGATGTAGATTTATTCTAGAAGTTATAGATCTCTTTTTCAGTATTTGTATAATATAGACTAGGTATGTTATAGATCAGGATCAGCAAAGAAAAAAAGAAAGGTTTCTTTAGAGATTGTTAGAAGTGAAAAGAGAGAAGTTTCTTAAACTTTAAGAAAAGTTTCTTTAGGGCTTCTTTAAAGTTTCTTTAATTGATTTTGTTCTTCTAGAAGAGTTTTTTTGTTTTTCTATTAGAAGGTACTAAAATGTTACAAGAGTTAGCCTTCTTAATATAATACAAGTAATATAAGATATAGAAGAGAGGCTCTTAATGATATCTAAATAGAATATTACTTTACTATGGCAGTTCATTACAAAGTTAATAAAAGAGTAAAGATTATACTTTATTTAAGATACAATATCGATAATACAAGACTATCTATTAATTTCTGTGCTAAGAGAAGTCTAATATTAAGGATATTGCAAAAGTCAAAACCTAATCTAGAGCAAAAGAAAAGGGAGAGTTTATATAGTATTTACATTGATAGTAAGAATTATAAGAATTGTAAAAATTGTAAAAATTTAAAAATTGTAAAAATTGTAAAAATTGTAAGAATTGTAAGAATTATAAGAATTGTAAGAATTGTAAGTTATGCTAAAGTTATTCCTAAGGTAACTCAAGAACTATATAATATAGATCCTCAGCCTATATATCCTATCAAGATTTATTTGTATAATATTATATCATACTTCTAAGTTCAGATCAATTTGATATAATTCAATTTACAGAAATATGTTCTCAGAAATGAACAAGCTTTATCATAACATATCAAAAGATCTAGAAAATTATTCAAATTTATTGATAATAGAATTTGAACTCCAGATCTATTACAAGGCAGTTTGCCAATCTAACTACTATACTAAATCACTAGATCATAACTTTTAGTTATTAGTTTTGATATATTATTTTATATATTAAATAGTTAACTTTTTTTTGATAGAATTTAATTTTAGCATTAGTTTAAACTTTTCTAATAAGATTAATATTTCTAAAATATCTATTAGATTTGAAATAAAGATATTTTTCAAAATCTAAAACTTTTAAAATTATTAGTATTAAAACTGTTTCAAAACTTAGTTTTGATAAATTTTTATTTTTAAAACTTCTTAAAACTTAAAACTTATTTTAGAACTTATATCAGAACTTAAAACTTATATCAGAACTCAAAATTTATACTGAAACTTGAAACTCAAAGTAAAATTTAATAATCATATCAAAATTTGAAAATATTTTAAGAATAGATCTAATAATCTACATGATATTATTTGTTTACTAGTATTAACAAAATTAGCTAAAATTATACTATAACTCTAATAATAAACCTAACTTTGATTTAGATTACCAAACTACCTAACAAATGTTTTAATAAAATACTTTATTAAAATAAATAAATATTTTAATAAAAATAAAATACTTTATCAATATCAATATTATTTATTAAAATAAATATTTTTTTAAAATAAAATATTTTAGGCTATAAAAAGTTAAATTTTCATTTTGTATAACATGGATTTTTTTTTTAATTTATTATAAATCAATAGATTCATGTTCATATCTAAGACCATACAAAATTAGATCAACACTAAGATTTTTTTAATCTATCATAAATCAATAGATTCATGTTCATATCTAAGACCATACAAAATTAGATCAGCACTTAGATTTTTTTTATCAGTTCTATCAAATAATTTCAGGATATCAAGGTCTTTATCAGGTAATACCAGATAAAATTAATAAAAAAATTAAATAGCAAAAAAAAAAAAAATTAAGGTTATACAAAATGAAAAATTATCTTTGAATTGATATTCATACACCCAAATTTTATATTTATACTCCTTGAAATTAAAAGATTTTGAACTTTGAATGAAGATATCTCACTAATTAAAATCGATAAAAAAATTTTTTATTTGAATTCTACAGATCTGCAGAATTCAAATAAAAAAAAATTTATCAAAATTGGTTAGGTGGTTGTCGAGATATCTTCGCTCAAAGTAAGTAAAAAATTCAAAATGACTATTAAAATAGAAGCTACACCAAAGTTTTTTTAAACCTTTGGGCGAAGATATCTCGACAACCACCTGACCAATTCGATGAAAATTTTTTTATTTGAATTCTACGGGCCTATAGAATTCAATCAAAAAATTTTCATTGATCTTGATCAGGTGGTTGTCGAGATATATTCGTTCAAAGTTTTAAAAAAATATTGCATAGCTTCTACTTTGATAGATGTTTTGAAATGTTTACTAAATTTAAGCAAAGATATCTCGACAACCACCTGACCAATTTCGATGAAAATTGAATTCTGTAGATCTGTAGAATTCAAATAAAAAAATTTTGATCGATTTTGGTTAGGTGACTGTCGAGATATCTTCACCAAAATTTTAAAAAAATTTTGGCAAAGCTTCTATTTTAATAGACAACCACCTGACCAATTTAGATGAAATTTTTTTTTGGTTTGAATTCTACAGACTCATATAATTTTTGGAAAAAAATTTTCATCGATTTTGGTCAGGGGGTTGTCGAGATATCTTCACTCAAAGTTTTAAAAAAAAATTTGGCGCAGTTTCTATTTTGATAGACGGTTTGATCTCGACAATCACCTGACTAATTTCGATGATCTCGACAATCACCTGACTAATTTCGATGAAAATTTTTTATCGATTTTATCTTTTCTCAAAGTTCAAAAATCTTTTAATTTCTATGGGGTACCCCTTAAAACTTTTTAATCGTTTAACCGTTTAATCGTTTAATCGTATTAACCGTTTAACTCGGCTTTTGAGCTTCGATACACTTTGAAGTTTCTATACCACTTTCGAGTTTGATACCTATTTTAGTTTTTTGCATTTCACCGATCTTTTTATTATGTAATGTGCCCTTGTGACCTATAGTAAATTTTTTCTTTGAATATATCTATTGAAAAATAAAATAAAATAAATGTAAAAATGGGCCCTCGCCCATATGCCTAACCCTAACCCTAAATTAGGCCGAGTGTCATCTTGGTTCAGTGTTCTTGAATCTACCCTATTTTATTATTATCTATGTTTTCTGGAATGTATATCTCATTATAAAAGCAGTACAGAATCAGATCTTTTCGTATAAAGCTTCCGATTCTTTAAAAAAAACTATCGTCAAGAGCAACTTTACGGGTGTAGTTATATTTATTTTATATTGGGATATTTCTCATACTTTGATTTGAATAATTATAAATCATATTTGTTGTAGCAATATTACTAGGGCTGTTAATCGATCCGGTCTGGACTGATGGTTCTTCGATCTATCCAAGGATTGGTCATTTTAGGATGGATCATAGAACGTATGGTCCTAAACTAGGTATTAGGTGGTCCCAAGCAAATAATTTGATTATTATTATCGCCATAATATGCAGAAATATTCGTGTCGCCTTATGAAGGATTTTTATTAGATATCTTTAACAGGCATTCCATGGATTGGAGTGGAAATAAACTGCTCTCCGCTACGCTTTGGGCAATCAATTATATCGAATAATATACTAATTATAGCTTCGATTATTTCGGTGTTCTAAGCTTATATAATAAATTTTCGAATACTACTAACAGATAATTACTAAATTAGCGCGATAGACCATATACTTTCGCATTCACAGGAAGATTTTCAAAATTCCAGCTACATTAATATAATCCAAGCAAATCAATCTTCCAAAATCTTTAATTTTGGGCAAAATTCGTGAATGATGATATTTTAACAAATAATTTTTTGAAAGATAGACAAGTTCTAAGTAAAATGATCACAATAAATATATTTTACTTAAATGATGGTTGGGAATCGGTAAATAGTCTTCTTAGGCTTCTCGCCAGAGGCGTGATTTGGTGATTTGGGTCCAATAGTTATAATTAACTACTAATTCCTTTATATCGTTTCGTTTAAATATATAGGCGGTCAAAAGTAGAAACCAAGGAATTTGACCTTGTGATATCTAAACTTTGACAGTCAATATCTTTATGAATTTAAGGCTACCTCGATGATTTAAAATTGAGAAGAAACTTTTAAGATTTAATGTTTCTTCTCAATTTTAAATCATCGAGATAACATTACAATTCACAAATATATTAGCTGTTAAAGTTTAGATAACAATTTTTTTTACAAAGTCAAATTCCTTAGTTTCTACTTTTGATCGTCCATATGGGGGGCTAGCTGTTGTCGTGTGATTTAATCATAAGATAATTGTCGCGTCATTTCTTTGGGCTTAGACCCAATACCTGTGTGAAAGTAGGTGTTCCGGATCAACCATGTCAAAAACTTGGCATAGCCACCTTGGGGGCTATCTTGGCGCAGTTCTGACTTCATCTTCGGGATTGTCAATTATTCCCGTAATGGTAAATTTCGAGTAATTGTCCTTTTGTCCGAAATTTTAATGATCTTAAATTACGTAATAAGCTGCTATTTCCTAATTGAATATCAGTTCAGTCTAGACCATAGATCGACAGTCTTTGGACCAGGATAGACTGATAATAGCCCTAGCGATTGATTAAAGTTTACCTTTATATTAAGTAGAAATATTTTGAAATATGAAACGTGATTGTTAGTATAACCTATTCGAATATAAAAAAATATAATTTAAAACTAATTTAAACTACAATATAAAAATTTAATATTTTAATAATTTTAATATTAATTAAACCTTAATGCTGAGAAATAAAATTTAATTATTTTAAAACTAATATAAATTAAACCTCACGTCTAAGCTAGTAATAAAAATCACCAAACACAGCCTAATAATACTTTTAAATTTGACTTTAAATATAAATATTTAATATTTGATTTGAAAATAGAGAATGAAGAAATTACGAAGGTTATAATAAATTTATAAAATTAATATTATACTTAAATGTAAAAAAATTAAAATTTAATATAAGAAGCATAGAAAAATTAAATCATATCGGCCGATTTGTGGAATTTGATAAATAGAAAAACCAATCTGTCATAGCTCTGGTTGAAATTATAAATTATAAACCTCTGCCAATTTATATAATATAAATCGAGCTGGCTACAGGATTCAAAATATTGAGATCAGAATTAAAAAGGTAATACATATTAGATATGAGACTTACTAGTATGGAAATTCAGCGTAGCATACCTAATTGATATTGTTTCACCAAACAAATCAGCACTTGATCAACCGCTATTTGTATTAAGACGACCATTGTTCAAAGAACATCATCATTAATGCGCCTTCGAGTTAATAAGTCACGGACCTAGACGTATTCCTTTAGTCCGAACCGTAAATTTTTAATCTATTTCGTAAATGTTACTGCCTCTCCTACATTATGATGCATCTATAAATAAATATTTCAATATTGTAATATTTCAAATTATCAAAAAATATCAAACAGATCTACCAACTAACCCTCAATCGTAATGCATAAAGCGCTGTAGATTATTAACAAATAGAGTAGACCTAAAATGGAAGATGTGTAAGTTGTAATAATACAGATTTCAAACTTATTCATTACCTAGCCTGTCTAGACTTGAGCACAAATTTTCATTGCACCTTATCTTTAGCTTCATAGTCCGAGAGTGTAACGATTGTTCTCATTACGCCAACAAGCTTTTTATTACCAAATAAAATGGTATAAAAATCTATTGAGAATATTCGAGAAAAGTATCCTTAGAAGAAACATAGAAATTTAGGTCATTATTAAAATGTTTCCATGTTCATTTAAATGAAACAAATAATGTTCATCATCGCTTCTGTCAAGAAAACTTCACAATGTTAGCTTTTCGATAGATAAATCTTAATATATTATACATTGTTATCCATATTGGCATTCATTAATTACCTATATCCCAATGTTCAATAAAAAAGTATATAGAATTTATTGCCTAGTGTCGCCAAATCAAAAATTGAGAAACAAGATCCCAAATTTATATAGGTTTGCAGGTTCCAACTCTCCCGCTAAATGTACAGTTACACGGCATTTAAGCGACGCCTCAAAAGTGAAGATCGACTTAATTCCAAAATAAAAGCAAATAAGAAACGAGCCATGTGACTAAGTTGAACAATAAAACGGATGTTGATTGTAAATTGATGCACGCCAATCGGTACACAACAGCCCCCTACCTTTTGTTTACAGTATATTTACCCTAAAATTCGTATTTTTCAAGTAAAAAATTTTCTTACTTCCTAGGGTCTATAATAATCGACAAGATGACGTTTCAAACCAACGTGGATTGTATCCATGAGGTATTAAAATGTCTTCGACATGACACTGAGACTTTACATTCTTGTCTATTAGTTAATAGACTTTGGTGTGAATTATCTGTTCCTATTCTATGGAAAGATCCTTGGGCACGATTCTTTAACTTGCCTTTTTCCAAGCCATCTTTCACGCAACCGATAGCACTAATCAATACATATATTTCCTCATTAACTCGAGAATCGATACTCAAATTGGAAAAAAATGGATTTAACTTGTCATCTATTTCATCCTCGACAACTTTTAACTATCCCATGTATTTACGTTGTTTAGATTTAGAATTCTTGTATTGGTTAGTAATGAAATGGGTTCAAAACAAGAGTAAACCTGGATTCCGTCCTCTTAAAAGGGTTGTAAAACGCTTCAAAAATTTTAGAAAAAAGTTATATCACAATTCAATTACTCTAGATTCAACGTCGATGCCACCACAAGATAAGATTCGTCTGGTTTGCTCTGAACTTTTGACCCTCTTTCTTAAAGAATCTCCAAAAATTTATATACTTCGAATTAATGACTATTCAAAAGTGGACATTTTTGGCCCGTTTGGTGATGTCCTAGCAAGCTTGAACCCAAAGCACAATTGTTTATCTTCATTAAAAGGACTGGAATGTAGAGATAAACCTGTAATGGACAATATTTTCGAACACCTTTCACTACTTACAACGGACATTACGCAAATCTTAATCATGGGCAATTATAACACAAAAACATTGGCGAATTTAATAAAAACACAGAAAAAATTAGAAAAAGTTTGTTGCGAGAACTTTTATAGCATGTCGTTAGAAAACTATTGGGAATCTGGAGTTGGATATGAACTTTCGAAAAAAGCACATTTTATAACTAGTTTACACTTGTTAAATTCTTGTTCACTGTTGATAAAATTACCTAGTTTTGTCAGTTTACAAGAATTGACAATTCAATGTATCCGAGAACAATCATGTGAATATGGAGATTGTTTAACATCAAAAAATATACCTGTACTCCGAGATCTAGCGAAGCTTAAATTTAGATGCATGCATGATTATTCTTTAGAATATTTAACAAATTTAGTCGAAAATTCGGGTGGAAAGTTAAGAAAAATTACAATCGAAGGTTCTCGAATCAAGGATACAGGAAGGTGCAATTTTCTAATATACACAATCGCCAATAAATGTCCAAATCTTAAATCTTGTTCGATCCCAATTTTACGTACGGACCCTCGATTAGATCGTTTACTGGAATCTTGTGAACAATTAAAAGATTTAAAACTTTTTGCCGTTCCCTTTACCTTAAATAATGGTAATAATGATATTTTATTAAATCAATTAATTAAATCTACACCTACTAGACTACGTAGGCTGGATTTTGTTGATTGGATATTTTCAAAACGGTCTTGGGAATTATTTCTAAAATCACAATCAAAGACTTTATTACAACGTATATGCTATTACTGGAATGAAAATTCTAAGATTGCAAGCCCTTCTGAAGATTTTCTTAAATTTTGTCATCAAAATAAGAAGGACGGAATAATAACAACCTATAAAGGTATTGATTCGTATTGGAAATGGTATGTTATTTTCGTTTTTAGAAATATACATTTCTCTTTTTATTGAATATTTTTATTAATTTTGAATTTATTATTTTAGTATTTGGCCAAAATTATTTGTGATGAATTGAAATAATTCTTAAATCATTACTTTAATAATATTCGTAAATCATTATCTTAATAAGATTCGTAATATACTTTTAATAATCTTAAAATCAAAGTTTAATTCCTAATTTACATCTCATTTATTTTATATTGAAAAAAAATACTTAATTCCTAATTCAATAATTACATATTTTAAAACTACTCAAATTTTATTACCTTAATCTTAATTACAAAATGTATATATTCTCGTGAGAAATTTTTTTAGATAGATTAATTAGATTAATTATACTTTTCTACCATCCTTTTGTTCAATTAAAATCATAATTCTAAAATAATTACATCAAATAATTATAAGTTTTTGCCGAAAAAAATTTGAACATCAAGGAATAAGATATTCTGAGTAGAGTGTTCAAGGTTCTGTGGTCTCGGGATTCTGCCTGCTCGTAGATAAGATAATAATATATTGGTGGAGGATATTGTGTTTGTTTTTATGTGTTGTTATTTAAAATTATGATTTCTTTTTTTTTTTTTTTTATGTCATCTTAGACTGCGAGTTTTTTGGTTAGCGTTAGAGCAGCAGAATATTGGGCACTAATTGTTTTTGGAGGTTTAAATATAGTAAATTTACTATTATATATAAAATCGCCTAACCAAAAACTATATGTACACACCTATTTTTAAATTCTCATTAATAATTTCTAAGTTCAAACAATAAAAAAATCAATTAATCTACTAAAAAAATAAATATCTAATATCTGAATTAAAAAATAAAAGCTCTATATCGATATCAAAGGTACTAAATTTGCCTATCGGTTGCGTCTATTATTAATTGACGTATGTACTACGTCATTCTTCGATTGAAGAATCATTTTTTTTATAAAACTATAACCGGAAAATTTCTGAAATAATATCACATTAATAAATCATTACAGCTGTTTTCATAAATTCTGGGACATCTGGCAAAAAATGGTCCGAACAAATATTGCCGGTTCGATAAGTTTG